ATGGAAAATTGACAAGTGCCACCTTTCGATGTTAACTTGTGGCTGTTACTAACTTTCTACAGTTTTCTTAATCAAAAGTGGGCTAGGTAACCTGTAAAGAAAGGATTAAAATTTAAGATGTTCTAGTTCTGCTTTCTTTGTTTAAAAATCACTGCTTCAATATACTTTAAAGTATTCTGTTTTCTTTTTCTTGTCAGAATTTATCAAAAATATCTTAGACTTATATTCTGCCCTTAAATTGAAGAGGTTGTGGCTGTCATTTCTTATTTTTACTTGCAGTTCGCACTATCTTGAGTTCATTTAATTCTTCATTGGATTTTATCCCCCTCCCCAAACCGATGTCTTAGAAAAAAGATCCCAGTTCTGGCAGAAAATGATTGAGTGTTCGGCAGTTTTGTTTACTTTTCTTTTTAAATGTTGCACTGTGCTTTGTGGGACTTGTTGCAAGTTCCCCTTGACTTCAGTTTGTAACATAATAAACAAAAAACAAACAAACCCCACAAAAACAATCAGAAATAATGTCCAGGTCTTATGTAAATCTGGCTGATGTTACCACAAAATGTTTATTAAACGGGGAAACCCAAGTTCTTGTGTGCGTCATTGAATTAAAATATGGCTTATGTCCTGCTTGTGGAAAACTTTGGAAAAAAAATTCTGTAGCCAACGACTAGTGGAATGTGACTACAAACTTCTTTCACTTCTATTCTTAATACCTATGCAGAGTAGCGAGGGAAACGTGCACAGAACAACATTGCAACCAGTTCAGAAGTACTAAATCTGACAGCACTGCTAGTCATCTTAGAACATTTTTTCCATCAGAATGCGTAAGAAACATCTGTGTTTTATGGGATGGCACTCGCCACTTCCCAGCCCAGTTGCTGTACGGTTCTTACCGAAAATGGTTTGAGAGGAGGATTAAGCAATAACCTGTAATGGAGCACGCTTCAGTACTACTGTTCCTATGTTCTAAAACCACACAGGTTAGATGACTTAATGAGCACTTCAAGTATTGTTCCATCATTCTAACTTCATCAGGCAGAGCTGTTTCCCTGTTGCTCCAGGGCACGCCTACGCATGCTGCAGGAAGCCCTTTCTGTTCAGAACTGAGCATCCTTTGCTGCGTCTCCGCTCTTCTCCTGACTGCCTGTCTTTTTTCCCCAGCGTAAAGTGCGATCGTAGCTCCACAGTCAAACTGCCATACAATCAAACTGCCGCCTCTTCCCCGCCTGTCGAACTTGGGTATGTTATTGAGCAAACAGATTTATCTCCAGAAATTCTTAGAGATCTGGGAGTACGTACCATTTTGATGTGCAGGAAGTTGAATTAGAAAATCCTTCACGCCCAGATGGTTGTCTGTACTCCGAAGTCCAGTTTTAATACAGCCTTTGCAGCCTTTCAGAACTAGTGTGTCAAGCGGTAGGTCTCTTGGTTTTAATGTCTTGTATATTTGCTATTTCTTCATCCCTCTCATCCAGCTTTCATTTCTGATTTAGTGTAAACAATGACAGCCCAGTACCTCACCTCTGTTGACAGTAATTTTTTTTATAAGTTAGGGAGCTAAGAAACGTTATGTTTAAGTGTTCTTAGACAGATTCTTTGGCAGGTAAATAAAGTTAAACCACATTCACCTTATTTACAGAAACTCGCATTTCCTAAGTGTTTTCAGGCTTGTGAGAGCACTGTCTGTTACCAAATTTTCACATCTTTGTGTCTTCATTTGCAGAAAGTTGGTACTGATTTTGTTTCATTCACGCTCACTCGGATTCATAATAAAATAATGCCAAATTATCTGTCAAACTGAAGTGTGTATAACTTCCACATCACATGAGTCACTGTACCTTTCGATCATGTCTGTTGGCCTAGAAACTTGCCGTTCCCTAAATTTTCTTTTTATTTAAAACAAAACTGTAGCACTAGTTTGCTGCCCTCGTTACTACTAAATAGTATACTTTCTGGTTGTAAGCCTCTCAGGTCAAAGACTGCATTTATGTGAATCGGTGTGACTGGGATGCCATGGCAAGGGAACTGGAAGGGCTCTGTAACCGAAGGAACTCCAGTCGATTCATACAGGCCTACGGCAGCGCTATACCAGCTATTCCGATTTCATCTGTAAAGGCCACATAGAAGACAGATATTGCTACCAGTTCTCTTTGTGTGTTCTTCATAGCGCAATTTCTAAACTATGAGATGTGTAACCTAAGTGATGGCTTTTGTTTGTAGGCAGCCCTCTGAAAAGAGACAGAGATCAAATACTGCGCTGTACGGTTGAAGTCTGAGGAGAGAAAAAAAATCAAAGTACGAAGTCCTATGTTAACTCAGGAAATCAAGCTGTTGTTCTCTCTGGTTCCCTAAGCCATGCTGAATTCTAAACGTGCAGTTTAATATCCAAAATAAAAACAATGTACTGGTAAAACTACACCCAGCAGTACTGGTATAGGCTTTCTGCAATTCCATTCTGCTACCCTAATAAAAATTGCTCTCAAAGGCTTTGTGGCATGGTTTTATTTTCAGAGAGATTTGGGGTTTAGACTTCTTTTTTTTTAAGTACGCTGGGACAACGACATTCGTAGGTAGTGGTCTGAATGTGTTTTTAATTTGAACTCAGTGTTGTCTTTAAAGCTTTCATAGAACCACTGAGAAACTTCCTTCCTTATTGCTGTACATTTTACGCAATTGAAAGGCTCCTTATTTAGAAGTCTTTCAGTAGTTCGTTCTTTATTTCTCCATCTAAAACTCCCTTGAATTTAAAAGAGAATTCGGGGTTTAATGCTGTTCGTTTAAAAATATGGAATTTGCAAAATGTTTGTTTGTTTGTTTGCAATACAGAACTAACTCGGGTAAGAGTGCCAATGTGTTTGCAGCGTTCAGCTAGCAGAAAACGCATACGACAGTCAACAGGCGTGTAACATCCTGCGGATTGTGATCAGAGCAAATTCATCGGTTAGAATATGGAGCAATTTAGATGTTAAAAATGAGGTTAAGAAATATCCGTCAAAATACAAGCACATTACATAAAAAGGTGAGATCTGGTATTAAATAACCAGCGTTGCTGTCGGGCTTACCCCTGCATGTGAATGAAGTATCAGCAGTCACTAGGTGGCACTGACAGGTCTAACTGCGCTCCGGAACCTCAGCTGCTTCCTGCAGGTCTGCTCGCTCTTGGGTTTTCTGACTCTCCGTTATCACGCAGCAGGAACTCTGCCGTCAAACACCGATGGGACCAGCTTCAGAAATCGCGTCATTCCAAAAGGTAACTACTCTCCTCTGACTCGGCTGTTTGGTGTAGCGCTTGCACAGTACAGTAGATGGGTTTTTTTTAAAAACAAACTTGTCATATATCAAATTAATTCTGTGACAATAATTTAGGAAAGAACCTGGAAGAATATTTTCTAAGGCATCCTTGATGTTGTTCTTCATATTTGTACAGAACAAAAGCTTCCTCAGATGCCCTTCCCATAGGGAAGGGCAAGTGGTTCCTATTAATGATAGAAAAACGTCCTTTCAGCACTCCGCAGGCAGTCACAGTAAGAGCAGATAGGTGTGAGTGGGTTTAGTTTGCTCTCCTGCTATAACTAAAACCAACAGCCTCCTGAAACATTGCAATAGAAAAAGGCCTGAGTTTATTTTTCACTAAAAGAATGACCATATTGAAATTTTTAATATTAAAAAAAAGTTAGCCAAAAATGATTACATTAAATAGATCACTTTTGCGCAGAAAATGAGCATAAACAATCTAAAATATTTTTTCCCGTGTGAAAGTTATATGTGAGTTGACAGGGTACAGCTACGAACGCAGTTAAATGTATCAGTATTACTAGGGCTTGTTGAAGTTTGAGTGCTTTGATGACAGGAATAAAAATGGACAAACGCAAGGACCTTCTCCACTTGAAAACTTGCTCGTAGTTGGTACACAGCCGTCCACGCGTTTTTCATGAGAGGCAGTGGGCAGCGCAGGAACAGTTGCTGGTGAGCTCTCCTATGCAGCAGTTACTGAAATAGCAGATGGGTCAACAGTTGCTGTTCTTCCAAAGTCATCCAAAAAAAAAAAAAAAAAAAAAAAAAAACCCCCCTAAAGGGGGGGGGGGGTTGTTTTTTTTTTG